TGTGTATGATAGTGAATGTGTATATGAAGAAGCATGCTATTACACTGTCATACCTCGAATGTGAGCTCCTGTCTCCTCTTTACGTTAAAAGCTCCACTCTGAAGCTCTGTGATCTAGTTCAATTAAAATGTTTAGACAGACAAGATACAATTGAGGTACCTGGGTTCCATACTGTAATTTTATTACCTTTTCGTGACGTGTTTGATTTGACTCGCAAAGTTTGTATGTATCGAAAATCATAGTCCTTGATGTTTCCTGTGAAAAATTCTTGAAGTTGGCCACGCTGCCATGTCAGCTATTTTGGCCTTAAATTTGAAATTTATTTTGAATCCTCATTTTAGTGAATAAGACTGTAAATGTAAGCAATGCTAATCACACAATGCTGATCTATAATTGCAACCGTGACTATTTATCTGTATTTACTTATTTGATGACAATCTCAGAATGCATGGGCTAACTTGGCTACTGAGCTAATGTGTGTGTATATGTGGATTTATAGACACCCAGATTATACATGATTAATACTTAACTTATAGAAGGAATAACTGCCTGTATAGTTCTTCTACAAGAACGAATCTATTCTAAATATAATAAACATTTCTACAATATCTTCCACTTCCAGTAGAAAGAAGTGATTGAACAGTAGCTCCCTTACAGCATTGTGCATTACAAAGTATACTTGCTGTCTTCCTGTACACATTCTGTCTTTATTAACATAACCACTTGCTGTACTGGTTATGGTGTGGATGCCTTGGCACCTTCCCATTGTCAAACTGTTTTTGAAAGTCTTGTCTTCTTAGATAATGGTGCAAAAGAGTAAAAAGACCAAAATCTATTTATTAACAATAATTTAAAAGCAATACAATATCCAAACGCATTTCACCAATATAGGCTTTATCAATGGAATAAAAAACTTTCAACCTGGCTAGTTGGGGTACATAAAGGCACAGAACAAATTTGAAAATGGTGCCAAAACTGCTCTGATCAATTACAGAGCAGATTGTTATTGCACATAAATAACAGTTGTATATATTTCACACCATACTTATGGAATTTTTTATATAATTATATATTTCACACCATACACACCATACTTATGGAATTTTATAGATATACAACTGTTATTTATGTGCAATAACAATCTGCTCTGTAATTGGTCAGAGCAGTTTTGGCACCATTTTCAAATTTGTTCTATGCTATGCCTATATGTACCCCAACTAGCCAGGTTGAAAGTTTTTTAATCCATTGATAAAGCCTATATTGGTGAAACGCGTTTGGATATTGTATTGCTTTTTAATTATTGTTAATAAATAGATTTTGTTCTTTTTACTCTTTTGCACCATAATCTTTTATTTACATTTTTTTTTTTTACTACTACCTGGCTTCTTATCTCATTTTACTTTTCCTTATACTCCAAAGAATCCTTAGGTGGGGATTATACCACCCGTGCCCGTGTCATAGAGCAGTTAGCCTGCCCTATTGTGAGATTAGATTGTGAGTATAGATTGTGAGTATATTTTATTATATTTTAAATACCACACATATTTTACTGAGAGCACTATTGCTGTTTTATTATCTTCTTTCCGAGCTCCTGTTACCATCTCAAAAACGCTCACCATATATCCCAGAGGCGGGGATCATACCGCTGTATGCCTACTACACTAGAGCTAGTAGAAGCTCTATCAAATGTGAGTGGTTCTACTATATTCTAATATTTCTTATCCAATTTTTTGGAATATACTGCACCATTATTTTTTTCGTTTTATCTCCCTACTGGCTGCCTGTTACTGCACTGAAGAGGACACTCACCGCATATCCTACAAGCGGTTATCATAGTGCTGCAAGCTATTCACACCAGAGCTGGATTAAGCTCTACAAAAAGTGAGTAAGATCTCTTCTATTTATATTATCTCTTGGATCACCCTGTATCATCACCCTTCTCAACCTGCAAGGAGCAGAACCCTACAACTCCAGAGACCAACCTAGGATCCAAGTTCCACTATACTGGACTTTGTTGTATTATTACTACCCCTACCAGGACTTTAATTAATTTACCTTGTTTATTGGCGCAGTCCCATCCCTTTGTTTGTTTGCATTTTCCATTTACTTCAAGGACACGTGAGGGAGTCCTTGTTTGGGATTGCTGCCCTTTTTTTTTCTTTGATATATTAGCACTGACTCTATTCTCTGTTCTTCTTAGCTGGGGTCTACTGACCGCTGCTCTCCACCTCCATTACAATCTTTTGAGAACCAGGAGTTTCTCAACTGGAACTTCTACTGTTAGCACTCTTGACCTATGCACTGCAATGCTCTCAGACCATTGTACAGCACTACAGAACTTGCTGGCGCTTTATGAATAATATAAATAATAATAATAATAATAATAATAATAATAATAATAATAATAATATGCTAGGCCTCCTAAGATGGTTTTAAGCCTCACCTTACAGTGGGAGGGGTTCCAAGGAACTCCTGTCACCATAACCACTACAGCAAGTTGTAGTGGTTATTATTTTATTTTTATTTATAAAATAGTTTACCAGAAAGGGTACATTAAGATTTCTCTCGTTTTCCAGTATGTCCTGAGTCCACAAAACATTACATTGTTATAATAGGATACAATATTTAAAAAAAATATATACAATATACAAACAATATATATATATATATATATATATATATATATATATATACTTACACACATACATAAATTTAACACACAACAGGTAATAAAAATAGTCACCCATGACAGGTGCATTCAGTATTGAGGTATATTGCCATAGCTTGGAGTTTTTCTTTAATTTTGCCTATTTGCATAAGTCAGCATTTAAATCTACCCTGGGTATTTAAGAAACAATATCCAAATTAGTGTTTATACTTTAATAAAGCCACTGGGAGTGCTTTTAATAGTGTTTTATTTGTTAAATAAATACACTTATTTTATTTGGGATATTTGTGCCTTGCCTAAACTATTGGAGTGTTTAAATGGCCTCCTCTGTTTTATCTTTGGTAAGTTGTCTCATGATTGGAGGGCACAGCTATACTCACACTGGGGATTGCTATGCTTAGCATACTCCCTTGAGCTTTAATCACTTAGCTCTTTTAAGAGCTGTTCCTGTTACGCTCTCCTTGGAGGAGAGGTTTTCCCCACACAGTCCTGGATGCCGGAGGTTCATACAGGGTGGAAGGAAGAGGTCTTTCCCACACGGTCCTGGAGGACAGAAGCTGATCCAAGGTGGAAGGAAGATGGCAAAACTCCAGTCAAGCTACGGCGGTTGCGGAGTCTGCAGTGGTTGTGGTATCTGGTGTGGTGCTCGTGGTCCTCGGCACAAGCTAGGAAGCGTCCATCAACGGACGGAGTACGGGGAGCTCCGTTACACCTGTCTATAATATTCTGTAGCCATGATTGTTTCTCTTACAGCATTATAATCCGGGGGGTTTGAGGTCTAATCTACATGAGTGAATATACATATGTTCATAGAGCTATTTGTTCTGCACATGCTCTGTCACTCAATGTCTACCTATGTTTTCATACATCCTTGTGGAATATCACATCCCTGTGACAGTGCACATCAACAAGCATCCGAGGCAAGTGTTTCAGCACTCGAGCCATCATTTTAGAGTACAGTGTGACATTATTAAGGATGAATACATATTCAGAGTGATTACTAATATTATATTATATTTACAATGTTACACCATAATCTTTTTTTGGATGATCAAATATCAAAGTTTTTCATCTCGTTTCTTTTAATTGTTATTTTTGGCACAATGCCTTTTTTTTTCTTTTTTTTATTGTACACCTGTGTATGTTATTGGAGGGGAATTACCAACTAGGTTGTTTGTTACCTTCTGGTACATGAGAATTACTGAAAAAGTGCTTGACCAGTATTATGTTTCATTGTAATTTTTTTGCTGGTATTTTCAAATGACTTGGTGAGCTGACTCTCATCTTGCATAAATCAAGACTAAACCTGCATTAAAGACCTCTGCAACCTTTCAGAGCAGAGGGAAGGTTTGTGTACAAGCAGGAAACAGGATACCAGCTGTAAACATTTAGACATTTTGTCTGTCTATGATTGCAGCCAAAACAACTCTTAAACCCAAAGGAAACAAAACATGATGCTGAGAGATTTTCAACAGAGGCAGGCACAGTATATTATAAAAGCTAGCAGTAATACTTTAAAATCAAGATAAACAAACTAAAAATAAATGTAGCTATACCATATATAGAGTTCAGTATGGGACTCTTAACAGAAGTCTGATTAGCTTAGCATGGGTGATTGGGACATCTTCCATTCTAACATCACTAATTCTAACTTCACTCCACACTTTTAATGAGCAAGTAACCCACCGCAGAGGGATAATAAATTAACTCATACCAGTGGTGGCTAGTGAAGATTAAAGATGGCAGGGTGCTTCCCCACCCAACTTGATTGACTCTATCCACCTAACCTCATGAGATACCATGACATGTTCGGTTCAAAACCAGGTGTATCTTCAGTCATCATGTTTTTTTCTAATACACACTTCTCAGTAGAGATGTCGCGAACCGTCCGCGAACTTCTCGCGAACGGTTTGCCGCGGTTCGCCACGAGCTGTTCGCGGCGAACTCCGGTCAGCTGACACATCCCGGCGACATCTCTACTTCTCAGTAGCCTTTACAATGTCATCAAAAATGGGGGGAAAGGGGATCCTGCTCCTATGAACCAGCCTTATCTGAGTTATACTCATAAATACAGACCGAGCTACACAATAAAAGCAGACACTTGAGAGTAAAATGCCTATTATACTATTTGAAAATTGCAATGGTTTCTCTAGATGGACTCTATGTATATTTAGAGAAGAGTCAAAATTGACTTGTTCAACTGGGTTATTGGAATAAAGTGTACAAATTACATAAGACAATTCAAATCAGCCAATATTTTCCACTCTTTTTTGAATTGCTGTTCCATGTTTATATTTTTTGTTGACTTGGGTTCTTGTATGTTTCCTTTCAGCCCTCGCCACAACGCTTCTCTTCTCTCAGCCAATGCCGTGCCTACTCCTCTGGATCCTGCATCCCAGCATATGGCTGTTTCCCACCTGGCGGACGTGCATTCACACTAGGAAACATGTGCAATGCCATGGATCACTTGGTTCCACCCTATATTAAAGCAACAATAGCCCAAAGTACTAGCGGGCTAAACACATATCTTTATAATTGTTGCTGATTATCCCGGAAGTTCTTCAACCAATTCCCACATACTTAGGCCTATTTAAATCCTTTCCTGATATAATATAATTTCGGCGTCCTGTATTCAGTTTGTTGGCTCTGTTTTCTGACTACTCTTATCTCTGGAATCCCTGACCTTGACTTTGTGTGCTTGTTTAATCTTCATTCTCTTATTGTTGACCTTGGCCTGTCTCCAGTTACCCTTATTTTATATTAGCACTATATTCTTTACGTTAAGACTGGCAACTCTAACGTCCAGTAATACGTTCTATATAATTTTATTAATTGCCTCTAGCTTGAGGGGTAGGGTTGTACCTTGACAGGATCTAAGCCTTTATAACTTTATAGATATCAACAAAGATCCAGAAACTTGATTTCAAGTTTGTCCTTGTATCTTTTATCTGGAATTACTGCAGTCTAGTTTTGGACCATGACTAGACGGCACAAAACAGATGGAATCCCGCCCATACTACAATTGGCCGAGTGAAGACCTTAAAATCTGAGAAGTATCATTTAGCATCTCCTACAACAGAAGTTTTACATAGAGACCTAACTCCAGTACCAAGAAAATTTAACATCTTCTTAAGGTTTTCAGCAGGAGGCAATTCAGGACAGGTAGATAGGGCATTGGATTCAATTTTGGTAAGCCCTGGTCAATAGTAACTACTTTGCATTAGTCAAAAAATATGCAAGGTAGTTATAAGCATTTAATGTAAATGTAATGTATTCACAGCAGCCTGTTTAAAGGTATAAACTGCAGTTTATAGATGGATAATAGTTTTTTTCACCACTTGACAAACCTTTATTTTAAATCATCCAATACTGTCCTCTCTTTTTTGAATTGCTGTTCCATGTTAAAAACATTTTGTTGACTTCGGTTCTGTCATGCTTCCTTTAAGTCCTCTCCACACTGTTCCTCTTCTCTCAGCTGATGCCGCACTCACTCCTCTATGTACTGCATCCCAGAAGGCAACTCAGGACAGGTAGATAGGGCATTGGATTCCATTTTGGTAAGCCATGGCCAATAGTAACTAACTTTGCATTAGTCAAAAAAAAATGCAGGGTAAATATTAGCATTTAATGTAAATGCAATTTATTCACTGCAGTTTATAGAAGGAGAATTGTTTTTATTCACCACTTGACAAACTTCTACCAATGTATGCATATTTTCTGTAATGAGATAATTATTGCAAGCAAAAATATCAATTTTAGAACATATTGTGACAGGCGGAATCTGACAAAACAAGCTAAAATACACTGCTATATTTGCAAATTATCTGCTGCGGTATTCAAATATGAAGACACAATATGGAAAACACTATGATGCCACATCATTTATATAACACTGTAATACATTTTATCTTTTATACTGACCCTACAGCAAGAACCATATGCCTGTATCTACACATCCATTGCCTAATTAGACCATTTACTCCTCCCCAATGTGGTTACAATAATTCTACTGGCTTCCGCAACAGCTGTAGATAATATTATCTCAGAATTTTTCTGAGATCTACTCAGACAGAATAGTAACTGGAAAGATTTCAGTCAGTGACAGTTTCATGAACTGAGTGGGATCACTGGGAAAGTTAGATTTGGTTTTAATTTAACTACCACAGTTTGTTTAACCTATTTCATACTTGTCTTTTTTTTTTTTATAGGAATTCATATTTGTCATTCTTTCTTCCTTCCTAGTTATATTCAAGGTATGCTGATATATGTGTTTTGGGGGGTCAACTCCATGAAAAAGTTTGACATTTTGGCTTAAATAGCATTAATCATGCATGGTTACAATACAAAACATTTACTAGAACATCCTGTGATCCCCACTTGACTTCGTGGTACATGTAAAAAAGTGACAATGATTACAAACAATACAACAACAATTGATCCTGATAGATTTAAATCCAAATAAAATATACAAAAAACAAAGTAAGAAGAAAGACAGTGCAACTACAAACAAGACGTTAATTTTTTTAATTTTGACTTTAGTTCCTTTGTGTCCACCAAAATGATGGTGGCTCCACATTGGTAATATATGGTTATACAAGGAATGCGAAGTGTCTTGAGATTTCTTTTTATTGATGCAAACTGCTATTTACATTTTGTTGTAGATACACTGCTTCTCTACGTAAAGGGAGCCCATAGTCCTGAAAATAACAATAATTCTTTGGGATTATAAATTCCCTCTAATCAGCGTGACCACTGTTCATCCCCTTTGATGAAAGATAGTGAAGATTACATCCCTTATTTCCAGCTTTGAAACACTTCCACTGCTGTCACCCACTCCACCTCATGCCTGCTGACTCACTGAGGTGAAGGGGTCTGGGTTCCCTGAGTGGTCCTTTAGCTTGCCTCTGTATAACTTATTTGTTTCTAAATGTATCTAAATTTGTTGTATTTGTATTGCTTGGTTTATACTCCATGTCACTTGTGTGCCACTACCTCTAACTCAAGTGGGATCAATGTGATGTTCTATTAATTATTTAAATACACATTTAAAAAAAAAATATTTATAACCATATATGATTAAAGGAGCACTATAGGGTCAGGAACACAAACATATATTTCTGACCCTATAGTGTTAAAACCACCATCTGGACCCCCTTGCCCTCTCTTACCTCCCTAAATATGGTAAAATCTTACTTGTATTCAAGCCTGAAGCTGCTGGCTCTGCCCCTGTCTGCCTCAGAATAGCAAGCTGTCTGCTGACATCATCAGAAGTGTTATTCTGAGCCAATCATAATGCTTCTCCATAGGATTTGGGTGAGACTGTGAAGGAGGCAGATCAGGGGCAAAGCCAGCACAATTCAAACACAGCCCTGGCCAATCAGCATCTCCTCATAGAGATGAATTGAATCAATGAATGTCTATGAGGAAAGTTTAGTCTCTGCGTGTTGTGATTCAAGCTAGGCAAGACTGAGATAGGAAGCAGCTCTAGCAGCCACCTGAGGAGTGGCCAGTGAAGTTATCACTAGGCTGTAATGTAAACACTGCATTTTCTCTGAAAAGACAGTGTTTACTGCAAAAATTCTGAAGGTAATGATTCTACTCACCAGAACAAATACAATAAGCTGTAGTTGTTCTGGTGACTACAGTGTCCCTTTAAGGTTATGAAAGCCAAAAAATATTTATTTTTGTGTCCTCTCCAATAAACCTCTACCTGTTAGCATACCTGTTATTATATACTTTCAGTTGTGTTTGAATTTGTGATGTCTGGATTTACAAAGCACATCAATGTCTTTGTGGGTGTAAGTGCAGAATCTATGTTGCTTCCTTCCTAGTTATGTCACACTTTACCTCTTGTGTAATTATACCTCTGCAATGTATTTCTATAATTTGTTTAGCACACACGTTCTATAAATATATATAATAATAATTTGTTTTAAAATTCAAAATACAACCAACCATATGAATACAAGTATAAATATGACAGTGTGTAACATGAATTAAAAATCGTCCTCAGTAAGAACATTTAGACGGATAATCATGACATAGCCCTGATCAATGGAGGTGAGTTTAGTTTGTCCTTCAAGAGCTTCATTCCTTTGGGAAAGCTCTTGGGAAGGAAAAATGGCAAATATTCTGATTTTGTAATTTAGCTATTCTCTTTGTATGCCAATAAATGATACAAGCATGATACTTTCACAGCAAATAAATATTTCCATAAATTTGTTACTGGGCTAGACAAACAAAAGATACAACAAGGTAAATATTTTAGGCTAATTTCCAGATTATATGCAACTGAGTATAAGCAATTGTGGAATATAGTGGCATTTTATGAAAGAATAGTAATCACCTAATTTTAAAAAATAACTCATTCATTAAAAAAGGACACTCAAAGCGCCAGAACCAATAGTAGTGGTTATGGTACCAGGAGTGCCCTGGTGGCATCCCAAAGTAATTTGTCAAACTGTTTTAAATGGCTTTGACAAGTTACCTCGGTCCCGCCGGACACTCTGCTTTTGCCACCCTGTCCTCCACTGAGCTGAGTTGCTGAATTCTCTTAGTTAACGAACCCCATCTACTATCAGATTTGCTTAGCTCAGTAAAGACATCCAACATGAGAAGGTTAATGTGGTGCAGGTGCCCAGGGGATACAAATAAGTTGTTCAACTGTTCTAAAACAGTTTAACATATTGCCCTGGGAGGGAGCCAAGGCACTTCTGAAACCATAAGCACTACAAGAGACTTTAGTGGTTATAGTGCTTGGAGTGTTTCTTTAATTTTCCCTGGGGAATGAAGGTGAAATTGCTACTGAGCCTAAGGTTATTTACACTATTTAAAAAAACACAAACAAACAAACATTATTTGATTAAATACAGATTAAATACTATATTTTATAGTTGTATATCTCTCTATAAAAAGAAGGTTTTTTATAACTTATAGTTTGAAAAGTAGATTAAGATATACAAAAGTATAAAATCTAACTATGAATATGATTTTAATGCTAGCAAGATCAAATAAGTACCCTACCAGCCATGGAGTTTATCTTATCATCCTTCTCTCTAAATCCATCATGAAACTGCTAGGATAATATGTTATGGCCCTCGAGGTAGGAGGTTTGCATGTCTTCAAAGAGGAATTAGTTAAAAAGTATTTATTTACAGCATTTTAAACTCCATGGAAACCAAACACTTTTGGAGCCTTTTTTTTATAAATTTGCATAATCCTGCCACATATCTTCTGGAGGATCCGTCTATATTAAAAATGTTGAAAAAGCAACAGACAGGATAGTAATGAAAAATAAACGTTTAGTTTTTTGGGGGGTGAATGCCGTGGTGTTGTTTTGAGATGTTAACCTGTAGACAAAACTTGCAGAGAAATGTAAAAAGAGTCATTAATTAATATTCAAGCCACAGAAAGCGGGGTTAGATCCTGTGAGATGATGAGATTGCTTTCTTAATCTAGGTCAACGTTATTGGAATGTGAGCATATCTAACGTTTGTGTATCGAT